TCCAAACATTTGCTGGTTCTTTGGGTTTTTAATTATAAACAGAGTACATGATCAATGTTAAAACCATTTTCCAAGCATCACATAAGGATGGGAAGTAAAAATTATATATCCTGCTCTAGACCTTCCAGACTGGCTCCAGAAGGCAGCTGCTGTCAATGATTTTCCTTACAGAGAAACCACTGCAGCCACCTACTGTGTGCCATGGCCCCGACACAGCATGGCGTCTTCCCCCACACGGACCTGCAGGTAGCCTCTTAGGAGCTGCCTTGCTGAAGGAGGTCATCCCTCTCAGTCACATCTGAGCAGCACTCAGGCCTCGGCCCTGAGGGTCATGCGGGGGCGCCTGGCCCAGTTCCCTGCTGTGTCTGGTCTGGCATCTGTCTGCCTTTGGGCTACCTTTTCAGCACAGCTCCCTGGGCCTGTGGCTGCTCCAAGCTGGACTCCAGCTCCCCTGGGCTGCAGTGCTGCTCCCTATGGTCCAGAAACAAGGCCGGGCACGGCGGCTCCCAGCTTAGCAGCATCTCTGGCGCAGGCTGGCCCAGGAGCTCCCTGCAGAGTGCTGCCCGTTGACTCAGCCCCAGCTGTACTCACGTCCGAGAACCGGGCTGGCTGGGGGGCCTCTGACGGAGCTTTCCTTTTCTCCAAGCCTTGCTGAATTTCCTGAGGAAAAGCACGATGTTCTCCTGGACAACAGAATCTCTTGAAGTAGAATAAACTGCACTCCTTTCTAGTCTTCCTTTCTCAGCTTCTCCTGGACCGCCAGCTCCTCAGTGCGCCTCAGACACTCCCTACCCGCACTGCGGAGGCTCCTCCTGCCCTGGCCATCTCATGCCCCCTTGGCTGTTGATACAGCTCCCCTGTGTGCATGTCGCCCTGTGCCAGATGCTCAGGGACTTCTCAGACTCCTGGATCACTCCGAGTACACTGGCCACACAACCTGATGCACAAACTGCAGCGCCAGCCAAGGACCAGGAATCTGACCTTGTCGGAGATAAAGGGATCCTTCATGACAGCTTTCCTCCAGGACTATCGACTGGGTGTAGGGAGCTGTCAAGGCATAGAGTTCATACTCAAACACTTCCGGAGCGCGGCACTCTGCATAAGACGCCATCCAGCTCCTTTGACTATGGAATCAAGTACAACATTATCAGCTGGCCTCTGGCTCCTGGTTGTGACCTCCCCTCTTCTGAACTGAGCTTGGTGTGTAAGGGCGTATCAAGTTGTATGGGCTTCGCCACTGGGTGACCCCAAATGCAACTCCAGGAAGCGCGGGTTACCAATGACTTTAAAGTTTCGATCAGCTGAGCGCGGTGGCTCTCGCCTGTAATCTCAGCACTTTGGGAGGCCGAGGCGAGTGGATCACGAGGTCAGGAGTTCAAGACCAGCCTGGTCAACATGGTGAAACCCCCATCTCCACTAAAAATACAAAAATTAGCCAGGCGTGGTGGCGGGCGCCTGTAGCTACTCTGGAGGCTGAGAGGGGGAGAATCGTGTGAACCCGGGAGGCGGAGCTTGCAGTGAGCCGAGATCGCGCCGCTGCACTCCAGCCTGGGCGACAGAGCGAGACTCCGTCTCAAAAAAAAAAAAAAGTTACTATCCGATCGCGGGCGTGAGTGAACCTGATCCCGCTTCTCTTCTGAACAGCCGGGCGTCCGAGGCCCCTGCCGAGGCTCCTGGGGGCGGCGTCTGTGAGCAGGGACCGCTGAGCGGGTCCGGGGCGGTAGTGGTCCCCGCGAGCCTCCGCGCGCCCTCACTCGCCCCAGCGCCGCCCGAGGTCAGGGGGGACCGTCCCGCGAGGCCGACACCCCGCTCCTCCATCGGGTCCCCAAAGCCGAGCTGCCGCGCCGACCCCTGGCGCTCAGAGCACAGCAGGCCACGCAGGTGGGGAACTCAGTCCCGGCGAGTAGGAGGTGCCCTGAGGCGGCGCTGGACCGGCCCACGGCGTGCTCGCCCCCACCAGGCCGCAGCCGCTTATGATTCTTTTTTTTTTTTTTTTTTGAGATGGAGTCTCGCTCTGTCGCCCAGGCTAGAGTGCAGTGGCGCAATCTCGGCTCACTGCAAGCTCTATGTGGCTGCTTGAAAGCTCTACGCTGAAAAATACTGTTATTTTTTATATAATTGAGTGTTGGATTTTTGCAGAAGTCCTGACCTCTTTTTGCTTAGTACTTTAATATTAAAGATGATTATAATAAAGTTTATTATAAAATAAATACTTTTTTTTTTTTTTTTTTTTTTTTTTTTTGAGACAGAGTCTCCCTCTGTAGCCCAGGCTGGAGTGCAGTGGTGCCATCTCGGCTCACTGCAAGCTCCGCCTCCTGAGTTCACGCCATTCTCCTGCCTCAGCCTCCTGAGTAGCTGGGACTACAGGCGCCCGCCACCACGCCCGGCTAATTTTTTGTATTTTTAGTAGAGACGGGGTTTCACTGTGGTCTCGATCTCCTGACCTCGTGATCCGCCCACCTCGGCCTCCCAAAGTGCTGGGATTACAAGCGTGAGCCAAAAATAAATACATTATTTATAGCTGTTGTGTGCTGGATGAAGCTAGGCCAGATAAGCGTAGGGGTCGTAAAGTATTTGACCTTGTTTGTGTCAAGAGGCTTACAAACTAGTTTTCCCACATGACACAAATAAATATAAAATACCAAACCTTCTATTAGAAAGTGTGAATTATACATGAGAAACCATCAATTATATGATACATGTGAGAGGAGTTGTGCACAGTTAGGAAGAGAACAGCTCTTCATTGACTGGTGTTTGGTATTTCTGTGTTTCTGTCCCAGAGCAGCAGCATATGGCAGTGGAATAACATAGTTTTTTGTTTGTTTGTTTGTTTGTTTGAGACTGAGTTTCACTCTTGTTGCCCAGACTAGAGTGTAATGGCGCGATCTTGCCGCAACCTCTGTCTCCTGGGTTCAAGCGATCCTCCTGCCTCAGCTTCCTGAGTAGCTGGGATTACAGGCATGCGCCACTATGCCTGGCTAATTTTGTATTTTCAGTAGAGACGGGGTTTCTCTGTTCTGGTCAGGCTGGGCTCGAACTCCCGACCTCAGGTGATCCACCTGCCTCAGCCTCCCCAAGACCTGGGATTACAGGCATGAGGCACCACACTTGGCAGCATAGACCTTTTAATACATAGGTTGAAGTATTTATCACAGCGACAGATGGAAAATTTTTTTCTGAAGAAAATATATTTTCAGATCAATATGTGACTTAATTTTAAAAATTATTATATTAATTGTTGCTCTTTTTCTTTCAGGCTTATCAAAGTTTTGGCTTTGTTGCAAGAGCAGGTCAAGATTTAACTTTTCTTCAGTGAGCAAGTGTGCAGATTGTCAAATATGTCAGTTCATCAAATAAGAAAACGTGCAGTTCTCCCACCTATCATTTGTAGAAGTGACAAGGAATTTTTGGAAAGTATGCAAAGATACATAATTACAGAAACTGAAAGACTGGGCTGTAATGAGGAAGGACCTGCTGATGAATATTATATCATATACCGAAATGTTTTTGATAAGGTATCATAATGCTCTTAAAACAATTAAGTTTTCATGAAGATAGCAATGATCTATGTTGACAACCAATATTCCTGCCTTAGAAACACTACTGTTTGAATGATCACATTCCATTTGCTGATTTTGAGACGTTCATCCAGTTTCTCAGAAAGGCATGAATGGGAAAAATGCACTTCTGGATTTGTATTTCCTGACTGTGAATGAGTGTTTCAGTTATCTTAGCTTGAGAGCAGATTATAAGTTTCCTTTATATATTTTTTTAAAGACCGAGTCTCATTGTATCACCCAGGCTGGAGTGCAGTGGCACACTCATATCTCACTGCAGCCTCAAAATCCTGGGTTCAAGTGATCCTCCTGCCTCAGCCTCCTGTATAGCTGGGACTACAGGCTTGTGCCGCCACTCCTGACTAATTTTTAATTTTTTTTGTAGAGACAAGATCTCTATGTTGCCTAGGCTGGTCTTGCACTCCTGGCCTCAAGCAATCCTCCTATCTTGGCCTCCTAAAGTGCTGGGATTACAGGCATGAACTACCAGCGCCTAGCCCAGACTATCAGTTTTTGATTAACTACCTGGCTGTATCTGCTCTCTGATAATAATTTTGACCTTTTCATCTAAAAGTATCATCTGATTTATTAGGAATTGGGCTGCAACAGGAGCATGATGCTTCCTTGTTATTTTGAGTTTGTTTGTGGTATCATTAAAATCTTGATTTAGATTTGATCTAACATTAAATTGAGGTTCCTTGTATATTGGAGTTCTGTCTCGAATTATCTAGTCATGGTTTACAAGAAATTAGACTGGACTTAATATTGGAAATATGGAGATCAGCTTAGAAAATGCTATCACTTTGTGGAACATATTTGATTTTGCTTTTTAAGGTTTTAGAAATACCTATTATCCTTCTAAACAATTGCCGTTTGCCCACCAATCCTAATTTATTTATGCAGCCCTTTTTTTTCCACCCCATTCCGGGAAGATGCCCTGACAGTGAAATAAATGAAATCAGCATCTTTCTTCTTTGCCAGAGGAAGTACTTACCTTAAGACTTCAGTAAACTGTTGGTCTCTGAGTAAACAGCCACAGGCAAAATAGAAACTCAGTCTTTTAATTTTTAAACATTATACACTATGACTCTTATGTCTGCTCTAAATAAAAACCTAGTGCCTCACTCTAAGGGAAAGTGAGCATATGATAGTGATATATACCTACCAGAATAAGGAAATTCGTTGATACATATTCATAGGAGTAATAGAGAGAAACAGAGTCTTTCCTTCCTTCCTTTTTTTTTTTTTTTTTTTTTTTGAGACGGAGTCTCACTCTGTGGCCCAGGCTAGAGTGCAGTGGCGCAATCACGTGATTTTGGCTCACTGCAAGCTCCGCCTCCCGGCTTCACACCATTCTCCTGCCTCAGCCTCCCAAGTAGCTGGGACTACAGACGCCCGCCACCATGCCCGGCTAATTTTTTGTATTTTTAGTAGAGACCGGGTTTCACTGTGTTAGCCAGGATGGTCTCGATCTCCTGACCTTGTGATCCACCCGCCTAGGCCTCCCAAAGTGCTGGGATTACAGTCGTGAGCCACTGTGCCCGGCCTTTCCTTCCTTTTATATCACACAGAAAATCTATCTTTTAGAATTGGTACATTGGCAGGTTAGCTTCATTTTATATGCGTTATGATCAATGATACTGCTCTTGGTGTTTTAGTTGTTAAGGAATGTATTGAATGGATGTTTAAATAAAGATAATGTATTTAATAGGTTTTATAAATATCAAGAGTCATGCTGCGACTCTACTGTGTGAAATTAGCAAAGGAAAGTCATAACTGTAACGTGTATCTTTGCATGCCCGAGTGCTAACACTTGTCAGAATTTTTCTTACATAAAGAGCTCTTTGCTTTGCATTAATGTAGTTATAGTGAAGTCATTTTGGAGGTATTGTTGGTAACTTTAATTCCTAGAGAAAACATACAGTGTTAAAAAGAAAATAATATTGACGTCTATAGTCCCTGTTTCTTTTCTCCTAGTGAGGAGAAAAGATTTCCATTTATACTATTTGCACATTACGTAATTGTAAATTTTACCTTGTAAAGAATTCTGTTCTTCAGGACTGAGAGGGGATCTAGAAATGGAAGTCATTTGGTACTTTGAGAAACTTTTCTTCTAGCTTCTTGATAACAGATAATTGACCTTTTTCATTTTCACATTATTTTAGCACCTTTGATTATTAATGAACTATTAATGACTGTCTTCTTTGATCTTCCTACCCTCTTAAAAGGAACTAGTTGGGCAGAAGATAAAAGTGTCAGCTTGCATCTCTGGGTACTTTGAACCAGGGAACAAATACCAAATTGTGTTTAAAATCAAAGATAGATGGTTTGACCTGGAGAATCATGCCTGAATCAAAGCAAGGAGGACTTGAAACTCATACCAAGAGTTAGGGGTGGATTGCAGGGTGAATGAAAAACCTAGTAAGCAAAGAAGACCAAAGCTTGAAAGAATGAGCTTTTTTAGAAATGGATGACTTACTCAGCTGGGTGCAATAGCTCGTGTCTGTAATCCTAGAACTTTGAGAGGATTGGTAGGAGCATTGCTTGAGGCCAGGAGTTTGAGAGCAGCCTGGGCAACATAGCAAAATTCTGTCTCTACCAAAAAAGAAAAGGGGGGCGGGGTTATGGAGGTAGCTGGACTCTGTAAAGTGGCTGACCTTTCGTGTTCCTGTAGCATATTGTACAAATAGTTCAGATCCGTATGTAGTAGCTGAGGGGGAATGAAAACCATACCTCTTCTCCCTCAGACCCCTGTAACTGGTAAGTATAGCTATGGTTATTTTCTTGGATTTAGTAGCAGCCTTAATGCAGGAGTCTCAAACTTAAATGCCTGCAGAGGCCACCAAGGTAATATAAAAGAGTTAAGTGGGCTGGCTATAAGAGAATAAGGAGTGGTGGGGATTGTGGTAAAATGAAAAACCAACCTAATCAAAAACTCCAGCTATTATTGCCATTAAGGAATAGGGGTTCCATGGAGGTAGATTTTTCAGAGTTTGCAAGAGAAGCTGAAAATGTGGTTTTGGGGTGAAATTTCCTAAATTTTAAAATATTTTGTTGGTTAAGCAGAATTGCCAGCTGTATTCAACCTGTGGTGTGCCAGTTTGCATATTCTACTTTAGTGTATTTTCTGTGCATTCATAAAGGTTCCCATGAGTGCTCTTCTGAAATCTGTTTCTTCTAGCAAACAGACTTGGGAGCTGATCATGATACCACTACATATTTATTTTCTACTCATTAATGTATATGAACTGTCTTGGATTGTTGGAGCATATCAGAGGAGTGTATGAAGCAGATGGCCAGGAGCAACAGGGTACTTAATTTGGAAAGCCACAGATTGATGACCTCTATTTTATTAAAGATTCTTGATATGGGTGGATAGGTAGTGTGGTCATCTCCATGGCACTTGCCAGGAGATCAATAATCTCCTTATATCATTTGCTGATAGACCAGATGCCTTCCTAGATAATTTTTCTAGATATTGCCTAGGTAAAGAAAGCCAGTGGGGGATATCAGAGGCTAGAGATGTAGAAGGAATAGAAAGCATAATTGCAGCTTTCTGAGAAAATTAGAGATTGAGCCTGTCTATTCTCTATATTCATCAATCCCTCTGAAATTCTCATGTGCAGAATTTGGAAACCATATATTATTTATAACTTTTCTATTTTTATTTTTTGACTTTTTAAAAAATGTTTCTTTATTTTTGCATGGGTACTGCATATATAATATTAACAAAAAATGAATAAATAAACCAGTAAAGGAGATTGTACAATGGAAAGTCTGGCCCTTCTCATCTCAGATTCAACTTCTCCTGTCCTTCTCTGCAGGCACCCACTGTTTCTGTTTTCTTCTGTTATCCTTCCAGAGATTTTCTGTGCCTAAACACCATTTGAAGCCATGAATGTATAGTGATGAGGGATTTTTTACAGTTGCACATGACATCCTGGGATTAGAAATGCAATTAGATATTGAGAATATTGATGAGCCAATAGGAGCTGATGGGTTAGAAAAATAAGGAGATGAAGAGAATCCAGGATTTTAAGGTTTAAATGAAGTTAGAGACTAGATTTGGAGGGAGTAAGAGAAGATACAGAATTATATTTAAAAGATTCAGAATTTGGAAAATTAGAACTAGTATTAGTTTTAACTGGAATCATATAATGTATGTGTTCATACCAAGTAGAACAAAAATATGGTCTTTTTTTCCTCTCATATTTAAACTCCACATTATCTACCATAATGTTCCACAAAGAGCACATATTTAGTAAATATTGCCTTTAGTGTCCAATTATGTTTGAGCTTGCGGTAAAGTTTAGATTTCTAATTGCTAATCATGTTTCATTTAAAAAATAATCTATAATGTTATTTGCGAGAATTTCAATCCATAGTCTTTTAGAAAAAATATCAATACCATAGGCAGAAAAATAATATTTCAGGTAATAGAGCATGTCACTGCATACAAATCCGTTCTTACTTCAATCAAAAAAGAATATGATGCCTTTATTGAGACAATAAAGAAAGGCCGAAGAACTGCATTTTGTCTTCATGGAAAACTTAAAGGTTTGGCAGCAGAGCCTACAGCTTTGGTATATCACAGGAAAAGAACAATCCAACTTGAAGCAAAGTAAGTATTTTAGTAACTAGCCCAAAAGATAGTAGTTGTTGCTTGATTATAATAACTAGCCAGTATAACTCTAGCTGGTGGCTCTTAGTCTTATTTTTCAATTTTATTTAAAAGACACATTTTTATGTTACCTTCTCCTAGTAACTTGAAGCTACTGTATTATTTACTTCAATTAAAAAATATTACCTCTTAGTGTGTATATATATATATTTATATATATATATATATATATTTTTTTTTTTGAGACAGGGTTTCATTCTTGTTGCCCATGCTGGAGTGCAATGGCGCAATCTTGGCTCACTACAACCTCTGCCTCCTGGTCTCAATCTATTGTCCTGCCTCAGCCTCCTGAATAGCTGGGACTACAGGTGCATGCCACCATGCCCAGCTAATTTTTTTTTAATATAAAAAATAGAGATGGGGTCTCACTGTGTTGCCCAGGCTGGTCTCGAATTGCTGAGCTCAAGCAATCCTCCTGCCTTGGCCTCCCAAAGTGCTAAGATTGAAGGTGTGAACCACTGTGCCGGCTCAAAAAGGCAAGAGTGGGCAGTTATAGTTTTTTTGTTTGTTTGAAGTAGGGTCTTGCTCTGTTGCCCAGGCTGGAGTGCAGTAGCTTGATCTTGGCCCACTGCAACCTCTGTCTCCCAGGCACAAGTGATCCTCCCACCTCAGCCTCCCAAGTAGCTGGGAGTACAGGCACAAGCTACTATACCTGGCTAATTTTTGTATTTTTTTTTTTTTTTTGTAGAGGTGGAGTTTTGCTATGTCAGGCTAATTTTTGTATTTTCTGTAGAGGTGGGGTCTTGCCATGTTGCCCAGGTTGGTCTCCAACTTGTGAGCTCAAGTGATCTGCATGCCTTGGCCTCCCAAAGTGCTGGGATTACAGGCATGAGCCACCACTCCTGCCCCTCTTAGTATAATTGAAAGCACATTGTCGTATCATAAAATGAGGGTCCACATAGGGTGGCTCATCACCTGTAATCCCAGCACTTTGGGAGGCCAAGGTAGGAGGATTGCCTGAGCCCAGGAGTTTGAGATCAGCCTGGGCAACATGGTGAGTCCCTGTCTTTACAAGTTCAAAAAAAAATTAGCTGGGTGTGGTCCCAGTTGCTTGGAAGGCTGAGATGGGAGGATTGGTTGAGCCTGAGAGATGGAGACAGGTGAGCCACGATTGCGCCACTGCACTCCAGCCTGGGTGACAGAGTGAGAACCCATCTCAAGGAAAAGAAAAAAAAAGGAATAAAATAAAATAAATAAGGGATACAGGTAATTGCTCCAGGTAATTTCCTCCATGGAAGATTTAATAGTATCATTTCATAATTACTATCTGAATTAGAGCACTTAATCCTGTTATTCACAAAGGTAAATGACCTACTGGGAGAGGATAAGATGCTCAGTCTTGTTGAGTAGTCTTATATTTTCAGTATTACATTTGGTCAATGATGGATAAATTATTTTTATAGATAATTTTTTTTTTTTGAAATGGAGTTTTGCTCTTGTCCAGGCTGGAATGCAATGGTGTGATCTTGGCTTATGGCTCACTGCAACCTCCGTCTCCCAGATTCAACCGATTCTCCTGCCTCAGTGTCCCAAGTAGCTGGGATTACAGGTTCCCGCCACCACGCCCAGCTAATTTTTCTTTTTGTATTTTTAGTAGAGATGGGGTTTCACCATGTTGGCCAGGCTGGTCTCGAACTCCTGACCTCAGGTGATCTGCCCACCTCAGCCTCCCAAAGTGCTGGGATTGCAGGCATGAGCCACTGTGCCCAGCCTTTTATAGATAATTTTAAATCAACTTGGAAAACTATGCAAAGTTTGACCTCCATTTCTGGTAATATGGCTGGCTAGATGTTGAGATGGACCTTCCTACTGGGGAAAAACACTACATAATATATTTTTTCAAAAATCTTTCCAAAAGCATCAGAAAGTCAGAATCAAGGCATAATCTAACAGAAGACAAAAGATAAGTGGAGCACTAAAACTGCTTTGACCCTGAGAACATTTTTTTAAAAACTAGTGACCATAATTTTCAGTTTTTACTATCACATGCAGAATAAAAGGCAAAGCCCAGGATCGCTCCACATGGTATAGTCTATTGGGAAACACTCACCATATAAAGCTAGGATGGTAAAAGGCTAGGTATACCATCGTAGGGTGAACCACAGGTAAACTGCTCCAACCTTGGGAATGCAGGGAAAATTGCCCTTTACTCAGTTGATTGCTGATGGGTATACAGTTTATTTTGGGCCAATGAAATGTTCTGGAATTAAATAGGGGTTGTGGTTGCACAACTATACTAAAATTCCTTGAATTATGTATACTTTACAAGGATGATTCTTAAGGTGTGTGAACTATATCTCAATAAAGCTATTATAAAGTGATATGGAGGACAGAGTGAGAAGGTCATATTATTCTGTCTAATCACAGCTCTACAATGAAGAGAATATGGGACACAGACAATATTTGAAGAAATAATGACTACGAGTTTTCTGTCTTCTGTTAGATTTTGCCCTGATTTTGAGTTTCTGATGCTTTTGGAAAGATTTTTTAAAAATATATTATGTAGTACTTTTTCCCAATAGGAAGATCTATCTCAGCATCTAGCCAGTCATATTACCAGAAATGGAGGTCAAACTTTGCATAGTTGTCCAAGTTGACTTAAAATTATCTATAAAAATAATGTATCCATCATTTACCAAATGTAACACTGAAAATATGTGAAAGATACCGACTCACAGATTCAACAAACCCAAAGAATCCCAAGCATGATAAATACTAAGAAATACTCAACTAGGTTCATCTTAGTGAAGTTGTCAAAAATAGAGATCATAAAATTAGCATAGAAGGGAGCAACAGTTAGATACTTTCTCATCCATGTGGTAACATGTATTAGAATTTAATTCCTTTTTATGGCTGAATAATACTCCATTGTATGGATGTACTACATTTTGTTTATCCATTCATCTGTTTTTAGACACTTGGATTGTTTCCATTTTTGTCTATGTGAATAATGCCACTCTGAAAATTCATGTACAAGTATCTGCTTTCAGTTTCTTTTGAAAACCTGCCTTTTTTTTTTTTTTTTAACATATCTTTCGTTTATAAGCACAAATCAATTTGGAATAAAGCCAGTGGATATTTTATTCCCACAATCCTTTCATTAATACTGCAAGCTTTTACTCTGAGCCATCAATAGTTACCAAGAACACTATATAATAATCAGAAGCAGCAGCCAGCAGTATCTACTGACAAACTTGTTTTTTATTTTATTTTTTATTTTTTGAGACGTAGTCTTGCCCTGTCATCCAGGCTGGAGTGCAATGGCATGATCTCAGCTCACTGCGACCTCCGCCTTCCAGGTTCAAATTATTCTCCTGCCTCAGCCTTTCAAGTAGCTGGGATTACAGGTGCCCACCATCACACCCAGCTAATTGTTGTATTCTTAGTAGAGATGGGGTTTCACCATGTTGGTCAGGCTGGTCTCAAACTCCTGACCTCATGATTTGCCTGCCTCGGCCTCCTAAAGTGTTGGGATTACAGGTGTGAACCACCGAGCCTGGCCCAAACTTGTTTTTAATTTGCCAAAAACACTGTGACATTTATATATTGACAAAAATTATCTTCCTGATCAAATTTTACTCAGGCTTCCCTGAACCCTTTTCAACTAGGCCCGACTTTTGGACTTCTACATTCATCTCTGCACCATTCTGTTTTAGCAAGAATCCTGTAAAGTAAGTTTAGCCAGAACTCCCCATCTATGACATGTGATCCCCGAACCATCCTCCAGGTGATGTCTAGTTACCATGGCCTGCCTTCAACAGAAATCCTCTTAGGTCCGTTGATCCAGATTCTCTCCTCACATCTCATGTTTTCTTTTAGTAATTTGTCATCCACTGACCCCACCTTGCTCCTTAGCTATAAATTCCCACTTGCCATGTCATATTCAGATTGAATCCAATCATTCTCCATTGCAGTGGTTCCTGTACCTATTGGCATGGCCCCTCTTGAAAAAGGTCTTCCTTACCATGCTTTAACAAGTGTCAAAAATAATTTTTCTGTGTGTATTTTAATATGTTATTTCTCCCTTGGGCCAACATAACTAGGAAGAAAACTTCAAATAATGCTTAAGAAAAGTTTATACTACCTTTTGGTATTCAAAATTTTCATTTCTAGGTAAACTTAATTTTATCTCAGGGAAGTGCTGTCCTTCCTCTAGCTCTAGGATCAAAATTACTGTAGTGGACTGAATAACAGTTCTCAAAGACATCAGGTCCTACTCTCTAGAACCCCTAAATGTTAACCTTATTTGGACAAAGGGTCTTTGCAGATGTAATTAAAGATTTTGATATAGGAAGGTTATAAAAGTAAGCCCTAAATATGATCATAAATGTCCTAATAAGAGGGAAACAGGAGCTTTGCCACAGGCAGAGGAGAAGGCGGTATGACCACAGAGGCAGAGAGTGAAGTGATAAAGTTAGAATACCTGCAGCCCCAAGGCTGGAAAAGGTAAGGAACAGATTCTGAAGGAAGCATGGCTCTGCCAACACTTTGATTTTGGTCCGGTGATACTGATTTTGAATTTCTGGCTTCCAGAATTGTAAGAGAATAAATTTCTGTTGTTTGAAGTCACCAAGTTAGTGGTAATTTGTTACAGTTGCCACAGGAAATTAATATAATTACCTACCAAAAGAATTTTTAAATTACAAAAGTAATTTTCTACTAAAGAGAATAGTTTGTGGCCATATTATTGTGATTAGCACTTATGAATTTCCAGTAGGGTTCAGAATCGTAGTATGAGATTTTATTGATGCTCAGAAAGAAAATTGTTCCTCATTTGTGAGGCTAGATAACTTTTTCAGGGCATTTCACCTAGTCCATAATGGTTCAAAATAAAGTAATGATTTAAACTGTTTTACTTGAGGTTTTGTGGTTCAAGAATTAAGTTAGTTGAAAGACATAATAAAGACTTTCTGTTTTCCAGAATGAGGATTATTGAAAATAATTCCTCGAAGATTCAATCTCAAATAGATCAAATCAAGCAGTCTAGGGCAGCGTATGACACGAAAGAAGTAAAATATTGTACTTTCTCCAAAGATCCTTCAAAACCTATTCCAGGTATTGTATTTTGTTTAAAATATTTGAGAGAAATCCTGATTATTTCCAATTTTTTACCTAAGCCACGCATTATTATAAATGTGCTGATGTATGTGCATCTTGCACATGTGTGTTGTACACAGTTTTAGTCAGGACTCTAGGTAGATTCAAGGGAATGGAAAAACAAACTCTAAAAGATTGAGTTTCAGTCAGCTGGGTTATATGAAGTGTAATGCAGTGACTCCTGAAGTGTGGTTCCTGTATCAATGTCAGCATCACCTAAAGACCTCTTAGAAATGCAAATTCATGGTTCCCATCAGATCAGAGACTTAACTGTGTCAGAAACTCGATGGGTGGAGTTCAGCAGTGTCTTAACAAGTCCTTCAGGATTTTCTTTTCTTTTTCTTTTCTTTTCTTTTCTTTTTTTTCTTTTTTTGACACCTAGTCTCTCTCAGGCACCCAGGCTGGGCGTGCAGTGGTGAGATCTCGGCCCATAGCAACTTCCCTCTCCAGGGTTCAAGCGATTCTCGTGCCTTGGCCTCCCAAGTAGCTGGGATTACAGGTGTGTGCCACTATGCCCAGCTAATTTTTGTGTTTTTAGTAGAGACGAGGTTTCATCATGTTGTCCACGCTGGTCTCAAACTCCTGGGCTCAAGCAATCCACCTGCCTCAGCCTCCCAAAGTGCTGGGATTAAAGGCATGAGCCACTGTGCCCAGCCACTTCAGGTTTTTTTGATACACTCTAAAGTTTGAGAACCACTGGTATAATATAAAGTAAACTGTAGTGTATTAAGTTTTGGTGGATATTGTTGATTCATGTTGATGTCAGCATTCACTGCTTCCACATCTTCAGCATAATACTGTTACCATATTTTAAGAAATTGTAGTATATCCTGGAATTCATCTAGGATATGGAGAGGTTTTTACGATGAGTGGATAGAGGAATTACAAATATTCATCCTGGAAAAAAGAAAGACTTTGAGAATACATAATGGTATTCCAAACTTTTAAAGATTTTGGCTAGTGTTTATTCTGAGGCAGGATTAATAGGTAGAATTTTAGGAAGCCAGATTTGGTCTCGGTGGAAGAAGCTATGTCTTGAAGTAATGAGCTACTCTATACTAGAGGATTTCAACTGAGGTTGAGTAATCATCTTGTGTTTCATAAAAGTGGGGACTAGATTCACTTTCTTTTTTTTTGAGACGGTGTTTCGCTCTGTCACCCAGGCTGGAGTGCAGTGGCCCGATCTCGGCTCACTGCAAGCTCCGCCTCCTGGGTTCACACCATTCTCCTGCCTCAGCCTCCTGAGTAACTGGGACTACAGGTGCCTGCCACCACACCTGGCTAATTTCTTTGTGTTTTTAGTAGAGACGGGGTTTCACTGTGTTAGCCAGGATGGTCTCGATCTGTTGACCTTGTGATCCACCCGCCTTGGCCTCCCAAAGTGTTGGGATTACAGGCGTGAGCCACCGTGCCCGGCCTAGATTCACTTTCAAATATAAAATTGTGACTAGCAAATGACAAATAAGATACACATTAATAAGTACAGTGTAACTGGCAAATTGGGACTAAGTGCTGAGAAGATTCTGGGTAAGGGACTGGTTAAAATCAAGTAGAATCAATTCAGGTAAGTTTTTGGAGGAGGAGTATTTTGTGATATGTACTGAAGTCAACAGTTGGCCCAGATGAGAAAGTTAGATTATTTAGAGCTGGGCACAGTGGCTCATGCCTGTAATCCCAGCACTTTGGGATGCTGAAGTGAGAGGATCTCTTGAGCCCAGGAGTTTGAGACCAGCCTGGGTAGACCCTTTGAGAGTCTCTCTCTCTCTCTCTCAAAGGCATTTGAAGAGAAAGAGAGAGAGGAATAATAAGTAGAGGGAACAGTGAGAGAGAGGACTGAAGATTTGGCAGGCATTTATATTTGTGTTGGGAATAATAAACTGATTACTCTGGGGTTAGCTATAATAGGGTAATTAGAGATTTGTTTAGAGAGAAATGAGTTGACAAATCCTGAATTGTTAGGCAGAAGCTCTTGGCGTTACTGAGTAAGAGTGATATTTAGGGGTCTTCAGGGTATGTTAATGAAATCACTAAAAAAATTTTTTTCAGATGCTAAGGTTTGTGTGTTCTCAGTCTTCACTGAGTCTTCATTGATAATGTTTAAAACTGCTAGCCTGAGGCCGGGTGTGGTGGCTTACGCCTGTAATCCCAGCACTTTGGGAGGCTGAGGTGAGTGAATCACCTGAGGTCAGGAGTTCAAGACCATCCTGGCCAACATGGTGAAACCCCGTCTCTACTAAAAATACAAAAATTAGCCGGGCATGGTGGCACGCGCCTATAGTCCCAGCTACTATAGGAAGTTGAGGCAGGAGAATCGCTTGAACTGGGAGATGGACATTGCAGTGAGCCGAGATTGCATCACTGCACTCCAGCCTGGGCAGCAGAGTGAGACTCCGTCTCAAAAAAAATAAAAATAAAATAAATTAAAATAAAACTGCTAGCCTGGCCTGGCACAGTGGCTCACACCTTTAATCCCAGCACTTTGGAAGGCTAAAGTGGGCAAATTGCTTGAGCCCAGGAGTTTAAGACTAGACTGGGCAACATAGCAAGACCCTGTCTATACAATCAATCAATCAATCATAACCTGCTAGCCATTTATAAGTTTATGCTAATTTTACCTATGTTCAGTAAGCTGTAAGTACATACTATCATTTCTAAATTGTTTCTTAACATAGTGAACTGTCTTTCTAAGACTTGCTCTTTGAACACAGGCGTCCCACACATGGCTTGGCCTGTTTGATTTGTTCCCTTTTCCCATAGGTATGACTCTCCAAGAATCCATGAATCTAGATGCTCTCACTAAATACATGAAACATCTTGAAGATAAATATGCAGAAATTAAACAAGCTATGTTGATAAAATATGTGCCAGCTCAGAGGAAGTCTGATTTAGATGAAGAAATGATTGTGTTATTAAAACGGCGAGATGTAGCTGAAAATCTGAACAGAAAGTTACAGTTTTGGTATGGAAGTTAATCATATGTTTTTGAAGTTTGGAGTTTTATTTGTGTTTATTCTAATATTCCACCATTTGATTTTAGGCTCAGTATGTTATTGACGTTTTTTATCTTTATAGTCATCAAAGACTGCAGATAATTTCACAGGCACTTACTTCATGGGTAAAATCTGATATGAGCAGCCCATTTCAAGACTTTGTGGAGCAAATTCAGAAAACCAAATATTTACAAGGTAGATTATCTATATTTTTAAATTAGTAGCAATAATGGAAGACATTTTTTTCCCCTAGAAAGTTAGAATGGGGTTTTCTTAGGCCGAGTTAAAATAAAGCAAAAACATACTTCAGCTAGTTCTCTGTTACCCTATGGGTTCCTTCCTTCAACAGCTAACTAACAGGTAATGAGTAAAGAATAGACTTGGTGAGCCAAAGACAGAATGCCTGAAAATGTACATCAACATAAAGAGGAAAGGGAGGAGGAGGCCACTAAGTTTTGGAAGAGGTTGATGCTGTTAGGATCTATAGCAATAAGTTGTTGGTATTAAACACATGTATGTTTATTGTTTTCTATTGATAAGTAACCTTAAATATCTTCCAGTGTGGTACTTTCAATATTTACAGGTGACCGAGGCATTGTTGAAGAACTAATGGAAGATGATCCGCACAGGGCAAAAGAAGCTGAAATTATGCTTCACTACATTGAAAGGCAACTATTTTCAAAGCTTTAATTTTTCAGAATTATATTTTTTCATAGATTCTTTGTGAATAAAATACCAGATTGGGAATCTAGGAGGTTTTTCAGAGGAGATAAGAGGATTATAATGTTGATATGTTTTATTTATACAGGTTAAGCATTCCTAATCCAAAAATTTGAAATCTGAAATGCTTCAAAATCCAAAAAATTTTGAGCACTGACATGAGATAGTGATTCCTGTGTTTTCTGATGGATTAATGTACACAAACTTTGTTTCATGCACAAAATTATTAGAAGTATTATATAAAATTACTGGCTGGGCACAGTGGCTCATGCCTATAATCCCAACGCTTTGGGAGGCTGAGGCGGGTGAATCACAAGGTCAGGAGTTCGAGACCAGCCTGGCCAACATGGTGAAACCCCATCTCTACTAAAAATACAAAAAATTAGCTGGGCGTGGTGGCGGATGCCTGTAATGCCAGCTACTAGGGAGAATGAGGCAGGAGAATTGCTTGAACCTGGGAGGCAGAGGTTGCAGTGAGCTGAGATTGTGCCACTGCACACTCTAGCCCAAGCAATGGTGCAAGACTCAAAAAAAAAAAAAAAAAAAAAGAGTATTACATAAAATTACCTTCAGGCTATGTGTATATGGTATATATGAAATATAAATTTTGTGTTTAGACTTGGGTCTCATCCCCAAGATATCTCATTATGTATATGCATATATTCTAAAATATGAAAAAATCTGAAATCTGAAACATTTCTGGTCCCAAGCATTTAGGATAAGGGAAGCTCAGCCTGTATTTTTCTTACATTTCCTAGCTATCAACCTGATGTTACAAAATGTTTTTGAGAATGTCTTCCTGATTCAGATTATTCTAGCCAATTCAGTCCTTTCTTTCTCATTATTTCTATCCCATGACTTATTAAGAAGGCATATTTCTCCCTAATACTTAAGTTATTATATATAGTATATAATAGAAGATTAAAGAGATTTAAGACTGTATCCTTTTTTATACCTTGTTTACTTTTTATCAAATATTACTTTTATCAAATCTTTTCAAGTATTCATAAAAATACAGAGAATAACATTAACAAAATGTTATTCTGTGTACCAATTTAGCAAGAAGTTAACATTTTGCAGTATTTGCTTCAGCTGTTTTTGTAGAAGTTTGTTATAGTTGACATCCCGCTGTGTATCATTCCTCCTGTCTTCAATTCCTTTTCCCTCCTTTTTTCCCCACACAGCTGCTCCCTTGGTGTTTAACATGCACTTGCATTTTTAAACATTTTTAATACATAGTAAGACTGTATTCTTTAAGAGGTTAATTCACAGGCTATAAGGCTTATCTGTAATGAACATATGTAATATTCCAGGTCTTTATATGTTAAACAGTTTTCAACTGTTAATTGGAAGGTTGGTGTGGTAAAAAGAAGGGGGTAAAGATAATTTTGGGGAGAGCACAAAAGCTCATGTTATTTCCTTACACTGTAATGCTTCTCTAAGTCTGACAGTTTGATATGAGAGAAAAACCCTCATTGAGATTGAAAGTTTTATGTATTTTGCTTAATATTACTTTAGTAGGTTTTCCGCCTGGGGCTCTACGTTCATTTGCAGCACTATGTAACTTCTGTTTATCCTAGTTTTATTAATTGTGAGGTAAGGACTGATTTGAAGACCTTTTGCCATAGGAAGAGGAGTAGAGGCTTAAGTTATCTTAACTATTATCTTTCCTTCTTGTGTTAATCTTTGACTGGGAGCCTGTTGCCTGGCAGAACAACATAGGCTTCTGAATACCGAGGACACCTCTTGATCTCCAATTTGGCAGCTTCTTTTTTTTTTTTTTTTTTGAGATGGAGTCTAGCTCTGTGGCCCAGGCTGGAGTGCAGTGGTGCAATCTCGGCTCACTGCAAGCTCCGCCTCCCGGGTTCAAGTGATTCTCCTGCCTCAGCCTCCTGAGCAGATGGAACTACAGGCACATGCCACCACACCTGGCTAATTTTTTTTTTTTTAATATTTTTATTAGAGACGGGGTTTCACCATGTTAGCCAGGATAGTCTCGATCTCCTGACCTCATGATCCCCTCCGCCTTGGCCTCCCAAAGTGCTGGGATTACAGGCGTGAGCCACCACGCCCAGCCCAATTTAGCAGCTTCTGTCTTCAATTAGTATTTCCTTTAGGTGGCATTTCTAAGCAGATTGCCCTTCTTTCCTCTGATACCAGTACTTTTTCATGTGGAAGTGATATGCGGGAAAAAAATCTGAGTTCATAATAAATTCAAGTTCTTTCTTCCATTCTCTATGGCTTGCTGTAAGTGCTATAGGAATAAAGTTTAGGATCATGTTCAAAGTTAGCTAGCAGGTGGGAGTTTTATTCTGAGACTTAAAAAAAAACCCAACAGAATATTAGAGAAAGATTTCGGAAAACATCTTACAGGGTGAATGATTCTCGTTACAGTTTATTAAAATTCCTTTTTGTTTTTCCATATCTTTATGCCACTATATTTGGTCTGTATTAAACATTTCTAATCAGTTTTTTCTCTTTTGGTGTCATCATAACACATTATAAAATGTGATGCCTATAGATTTAATGAGTTAATCTCACTTGGTGAATATGAAAAGGCAGCTTGTTATGCAGCAAACAGTCCTAGAAGAATTCTTCGAAACGTTGGTACAATGAATACATTTAAGGGTAAGCATTTCTCTCTGAACCTTATATATGTATGCAAATTTACTACTTTTTCTCTCATAAAATGAAAAAAGCATTAAACTGGGAGTCTAGAGGTCTAGGCCCCAGCCCTCTCTCTACCATTCACTCAGTTTGCTTAGCAGTAACATTAGGGGTTTGATTAGATTTTCTGAATTATATTATGAACGATTTTAAGTATATAGAAAAGTATGGAGAAACATTAACACCAATGTACTCACTGTCAAGATTTAATAAATGTTAATATTTTGTCAAATTTGCTCCACATTATTTTAAAACACAGCTTCCTTGTGGTAAATTGACATAATACAACAAATTATACATATTAAAGGACACAATTTGGTAAGTTTTTTTTTTTTTGTGAGACAGAGTTTCACTCTTACCGTCCAGGCTGGAGTGCAGTGTGCAATCTTGGCTCACTGCCACTTCTGCCTCCCGGGCTCAAGTGATTCTCCCGCCTCAGGCTCCCGAATAGCTGGGATTACAGGTGTGTGCCACCACAACCAGCTAAATTTTTTGTACTTTTAGTTGAGACAGGGTTTCACCATGTTGGCCAGGCTGGTCTCAAACTCCTGACCTTAGGCAATCTGCCCACTTTGGCCTCCCAAAGTACTGGGATTACAGGCATGAGCCATCGCGCCCGGCTCAATTTGATAACCTTTGACATATGCATACACCCATGAGATTATCACTCAAAAGTTCCCTCATGCCCCTCAGTATCCCTCTCTTCCCACTACTTCCTAGTTCTCTTGTCCTTTTCTCGTCCTAAGTTATTTTACTTAGGATAATGGCGTTCAGTTTTATTTTATGGCTGAGTAGTGTTCGGTGGTGTGTGTGTGTTTCTGTGTGTGTATGTGTTTTCTTTATCCAGTCATCCCTTGATGGACACTTAGGTTGATTCTCTGACTTTGCTATTGTGAATAGTGCTATGATAAACATAACGAGTGCAGGTGTCTTTTTCATATAATGGTTTCTTTTCCTTTGGGTAGATACCCAGTAGTGGAATTGCTGGATTGAATGGTAGTTCTATTTTCAGCTCTTTGAGAAATTTCCATACTGTATTCCATAGAGATTGTACTAATTTACATTCCCACTAAAAATGTATAAGCATTCCCTTTTCTCCACATCCTCTCCAACATCTGTTGTTTTTTGACTTTTTATTAATAGCCATTCTGATTGGTGTAAGATGGTATGTCATTGTGGTTTTGTAGTTCCCTGCTTTGTAGATTTCTCTGCTTTGGGCAGTATGGCCATTTTAACAATTTAACTATTTTTTTAACCCATTAAATAGCCCCACCTCCCCCACCCAACTCTCCTACTACCCTTCATAGCCCCTGGTAACCATCCGTCTACTATGTTCATGAGTTCAATTGTTTTTATTTTTAACTCCACAAATAAATGAGAGCATGTGAGGTTTGTCTTTCAGTGCCTGGCTTATTTCACTTAACATAATGACCACCAGTTCCATCCATGTTGTTGCAAATGATAGGATCTCATTCTTTTTTATGACTAAATAGTACTCCATTGCCTATACATACCACATTTTCTTTATCCATTTGTCTGTTGATGGACACTTAGGTTGCTTCCAAATCTTGGCTATTGTGAATAGCGCTGCATTAATCATAGGACTGCTGGATCATATGGTAGCCCAATTTTTCGCTTTTTGAGGAACCTCCAAACTGTTTTCCATAGTGGTTGTACTAATTTACATTTCCACCAACAGTGTACAGGGGTTCCCTTTGCTCCACATCGTTGCCAGCATTTCTTATTGCCTGACTCTTGGGTAAAAGCTGTTTTAACTGGGCTGAGGTGATATCTCACTGTAGTTTTGATTTGCATGTCTCTAATGATCAATGATGTGGAGCACCTTTTCATATGCCTGTTTGCCATTTGTATGTCTTCTTTTGAGAAATGTCTATTCAAATCTTTTGCCATTTATTTTACCCTTTTTTTAATTAAAAAAAAATTTTTTTTATTATACTTTAAGTTCTAGGGTACATGTGCACAATGTGCAGGTTTGTTACATATGTATATATGTGCCATGTTGGTGTGCTGCACCCATTAACTCGTCATTTACATTAGGTATATCTCCTAATGCTATCCCTCCCCACTCCCCCGACCCCACAACAGTGATGTTCCCCTTCCTGTGTCGAAGTGTTCTCATTGTTCAATTCCCACCTATGAGTGAGAACATGCAGTGTTTGGTTTTTTTGTCCTTGCGATAGTTTGCTGAGAATGGTTTCCAGCTTCATCCATGTCCCTACAAAGGACATGAACTCATCTTTTTTTTTATGGCTGCATAGTATTCCATGGTGTATATGTGCCACATTTTCTTAATCCAGTCTATCATTGATGAACATTTGGGTTGGTTCCAAGTCTTTGCTATTGTGAATAGTGCCGCAGTAAACATACTTGTGCATGTGTCTTTATAGCAGCACGATTTATAATCCTTTGGGTATATACCCAGTAATGGGATAGCTGGGTCAAATGGTATTTCTAGTTCTAGATCCTTGAGGAATCGCCACACTGTTTTCCACAATGGTTGAACTAGTTTATAGTCCCACCAACAGTGTAAAAGTCTTCCTATTTCTCCACATCCTCTCCAGCACCTGTTGTTTCCTGACTTTTTAATGATCAAGTGTTTTTTTGTTTTTTTGGTTTTTTTTTTTGACAGAGTTTCTCTCTTGTTGCCCAGGCTGGAATGCAATGGCATGATCTCGGCTCACCGCAACCTCTGCCTCCCGGGTTCAAGTGGTTCTCCTACCTCAACCTCCCTAGTAACTGGGATTACAAGCATGTGCCACCACGCCTAGCTAATTTTGTATTTTTAGTGGAGATGGGGTTTTACCATGTTGGTCAAGTTGGTCTCGAACTCCCAACCTTAGGTGATCCACCCACCTTGGCCTCCCAAAGTGCTGGGATTACAGGCATGAGCCACCGTGCCTGGCCATCTTTTGCCTATTTTTAATCAGATTATTAGATTTTTTTCCTATGGAATTGTTTGAGTCCCTTATGTATTCTGGTTATTAATTCCTTGGTAGACAGGTAGTTTGCACATATTTTCTCCCATTCTGTGGGTTGTCTCTTCACTTTGTTGATTGTATCCTTTCTGTGCAGAAGCATTTTACCTTGATGTGATCCCATTTGTCCATTTTTTTCTTCAATTGCCTGTGCTTGTGGAGTATTATGCCAGAAATTTTTACCCAGACCAATGTCCTAGAGAATTTCCCCAATGTTTTCTTGTAGTGGTTTCATAATTTGAGGTCTTAGATTTAAATCTTTAATCCATTTTGATTTGATTTTTTTATGTGACAAGAGATAGGGGCCTAGTTTCATTTTTCTGCATATGGATATTCAGTTTTCCTGGCACCATTTACTGAAAAGACTGTCTTTTCCCCAGTGTATGTTCTTGGCACCTTTGTCAAAAGTGAGTTCACTATAGGTGTGTGGATTTGTTTCTGGGTTCTCTATTCTGTTCCATTGGTCTGTGCATCTGTTTTTATTCCATTACCATGCTGTTTTGGTTACTATAGCTCTGTAGTATAATTTGAAGTTAGCTAATGTGATTCCTCCAGTTTTGTTCTTTTTGCTTAGGATAGTTTTTGGCTATTCTGGGTCTTTGTGGTTCCATATAATTTTGGGGGTTGTTTCTTCTATTTCTGTGAAGAACTTCATGGTATTTTGATAGGGATTGCATTAAATCTGTAGATTACTTTGGGTAGTATAGATATTTTAACAGTACTGATTCTTCCAATCCATGAACATGAAATATCTTTCCATTTTTTGTGTGTCCTCTTCAATTTCTTTCATCAGTGTTTCATAGTTTTAATTATAGATCTCTTTCAATGCTTTGGTTAATTCTAGGTATTTGATTTGTGGCTATGATAAGCAAGATTACTTTTTTAAATTTCCTTTTCAGATTGTTGTTGGCATATAGAAATGCAATGATTTTTATATGTTGATTTTGTATCTTTCAACTTTACTGAGTTTATCAGTTCTCATAGGTTTTTTTTTTTGGAGACAGAGTCTCACTCCGTCACACAGGCTGGAGTGCAGTGGTGCAATCTCAGCTCACTGCAACCTCCGCCTCCCAGGTTCAAGTGATTCTCCTGTCTCAGCCTCCTGAGTCACTGGGACAATGGGCGCATACCACCAGGCCTAACTAACTTTTTTGTATTATTAGTAGAGACGGAGTTTTGCCATGTTGGCCAGTCTGGTCTTGAACTCCTGACCTCAAGTGATTGGCCTGCCTTGTCCTCCCAAAGTGTTGGGATTACAGGCATTAGCCACCACGCTTGGCCTCTAATAGTTTTTTGATGGAGTCTCTAGATTTTTTTCTTTCACTTTTTTTTTTTTTTGAGATGAAGTCTTGCTCTTGTCCCCCAGGCTGGAGTGCAATGGCGCAATCTCAGTTCACTGCAACCTCCGCCTCCTGGGTTCAAGCAATTCACCTGCCTCAGCCTCCCGAGTAACGGGGATTACAGGCACCTGCCACCACGCCCAGCTAATTTTTGTTTTTTTAGTAGAGACGGGGTTTCACCATGTTGGTCAAGCTGGTCTCAACCTCTTGACCTCAGGTGATTCACATGCCTTGGCCTTCCAAAGTGGTGGGATTACAGGCGTGAGCCACCGTGCCTGGCTAGATTTTTTTTCAAATATAAGGTTATGTCATCAGAAAACAAAGATAATTTAACTTCTTCCTTTCCAATTTGGATGCCCTTTATTTCTTTTTCTTGTCTGATTGCTCTAAGTAGGACTTTCAGTACTATGTTGAATACCAGTGGTGAAAGTGGGCATCTTTGTTGTGTCCAGAACTTACAGGAAGGGCTTTCAGTTTCCTCCCATTCAGTATGATTCTAGCTATGGTTCTGTCATATATGGCTTTTATTATGTTGAGATATATTCCTTCTATCCCCAGATATTTTTATGGGTTTTATCATGAAGGATGTTGAATTTTATTAAATGCTTTTTCAGCATCACTTGAA